CCCACAGCGCCAGACCATTGGCGGGCAGCCCCACCAGCAGGGTCAGCCCGTAGAGCGCGGGCACCAGCCTCGTGGACACCCAGCCCAGCAGCAGTGCCCGAGAGCTGTCTGGGAGCTCCAGAATGTTGCTGTTGTTGGCCCAGAGCTGACCCGGGAAGCTGCGCAGGTGGGGGGAGTGAGGGGTCTCCTCCTGGGGCCCGGTGAAGGGCCCCAGTGTGACATCTGGGGGAAAGGGGATACAGGTGTTGAGAGTCTGGGTGTTTCCTCCACCTACACTGCCCCCCAATCCCGTGATGCTTCCTTGGGCGGGGGGCTACAGTCCAGGCCCCAACTCTCAGGAGCCCTTAGCTTGGTGGGTTAGAGCTGGACACAGACACCCCCAGCCCTGTGGGCTCAGGACTGGGCTGGAGGACCCCCCAATTCCCTGTCTCCCACTCCTCAACTCTAGGCCTCCCTCCAGTTCCAAGACAGGGCCCAAGGTCACTCACCATTATCTTCTCCTGCGCTCCCCATCTCATCGTAGGTTAGGGTGTTCTGGCTGTCATCTTCCAGGCTGAACCCCAGCACCACAGGCCACAGCAGCGCAAGTGCCCACATGCTGTCAAAGCTCGGCACAGCCAGCTGCTCTGGGCTGTGGCCGCTGACCTCAGGCTTCCTGCCTGGCTGACCCCCCACCCCCAGCTTCCTGACTGCCAATGGAGGAGTGGACAGGGCCCAGGGAGATAAACCAGCCCCTGCCCCCACAAGCCTGTGGCAGGCCCACGGTGTGGGCTGAGGAGGCCTGGTGGCTAGAGTCATACACAATGTGAGGTCCAGGTGCTGGGCCGGCGAGATGGGGGGAGGAAGTTCCAGGCTGCAGTCCCCTCCCTCAGCCCTTGTCCAGCCCAGAAAGCCTCTATGGGCCAAGTGGCTACTTCCTGCTGCCCAGCCGTGTCTGCAGCCCCTGTTCCCATGACAGCGGGCCAGGTCACGTACTCAGGGGTTCTTGGCCCTTCCTGAAACCTCTCCCCATCTCCTGTCTGTGCCTGGCTGGATCACAGCCCTGCCTCCCAGGTCATAGATCAGAGCACGTGACTGATCTCTCCCTGTCCGAGCACCCCAGGTCCCCTCTGGGGGCTGCCTGCCTTATTGCAGCCTCCCTCATTCCCCAGCACGCTCCCCTGGGCGGGCAGGCCCAAAGTGTGGTGCAGAGAGGGGAGGCACTTTGTGAGGCTGGAGTCTGCTGAAGGTATCTGAGGAGGTCTTGGTCCTCGGCCCGGACCCTGATGCTGACCCATGCTACCCTGGGAGTGGAGAGGAGCCCCCTTCAGCCCCCTTTGGTCCTGGCTCCATCCTCAGCCCGGGGGCTGCTGGGAATGGTCATGGCCATACCTCAGCCTGAGAGTGGTGGTCAGGTCAGCCCAGGACAGAGGGCACAGAGGGCCACTGAGCCACCACCCTCCTCTGGGCCCTTCACATCCCTGCACTCAGATGGGGCTCGCTGTGCAGCTGAAAAAAAGCCGAGGGTCTCAGGGGGGAGAGTACGCCTTCTGTCTTCTGCACACAATCCCCTCTGATGTCCCTCTGGGGAGAGGCCTTGAGTATCTTGCCCTGGAGGTTCTCAACCAGCGTGGTCAGGGTTGGGTCCCGGTGGCGGTGGGGGAGGGGGACCATCTGAGAGCAGGAGGACCCTGAGGGGGCGGTGGGGGGTCAAGGAAGGAGAAATGAAGTAGGGGTGGTAGAAGGGGAGTGATGTGGCCATGTCCTGGTTCTGGGAGCCTTAATCTAGCCACACACTCAAGGTCACAGGGACCAGCCAGGAAGTGACGGAGCAGTCCTGGACAGAGTCAGTGCAGTTGAGGGTGAGACACCGAGGTCCCTGCCCCCAGCCCAGGGTGGGGGACCAAGGCCTAGAGTTCTGGCTGGGACAGGGTCCTAGCCAGGAGCCTCCCACATTTCTGGACTGTTTCCACCAGCACTCGCGACAAATTCAGCCACACCTATGTCTTTTGGCAGCTTGTGGCCAAGGTCACTCTCAGCACACAGGAGAACCCAGATGAGGACCCCCTGCTGCTGTCCAGGAGTGGAACAGGGAACCTGTGCAGGGAAGGCTAGGGGGCTGGCAGCTGGGCAACTCTGGGGCAGGGTGGACAGGAGCCCCCCAGGGAGGATGGTTTGACTGAGGAGTCCCGTGTCTGGGAATTGCCAGCAGGTACATGTGCACAGGAAATCACCCATACAGGGGTATTCCCCTTGCACAGAGGCAGGGATGCCTGTCAACCGCCCCATCACAGAAACCACCCTGTGCCAGCCGGTGGGGGGGACCCCAACCCAGGAGGTGCAGGGCGACCTGCCATGGCGAGGCAGTTTCTGCAGGATGCTGGGGGCAGCTGCCTTTGGGGAGAGGTACTTGGGTGCCTACTTCTCTCCATGTGGTTTTTTGTGTTGTTTTTTTTTTGTACTATTGGGATTTTCTATATCATCCGTTACTTTAATAAAAACTCACATTTTATTTACTTATTTAGCTCCATGCCCAACATGGAACCCAATGTGGGGCTTGAACTCACCACCCTGACATCAAGACCTGAGCTGAGATCAAGAGCCAGACACTAAACCAACCGAACCATCCAGGTGTCCAAAAAAAACAAAAATAAAAAAAAAAAAAAAAAAAAAAAGGCAGAATAATAGCTTTAAAAAGGAGGGAAAACCTGATACAAACTCATCCATGTTAGGATATTATAATAGGAGTGAGATAAGCCAGTCACTAAGCTATGAAGCCCCTTGAAGGGTCATGTGCTCAGGGACAGGAAGGAGACGGGGCGGGTGTGGGAGGGGGTGCCAGGGGCTGGGGGCGGGGGTGGGGAGTCCGTGTTTCATAGGGACAGAGTTGCAGTTTGGAAGATACAGAATCCTGGAGATGGACGGTGGGGACGGGAGATGAAGAACCTTCACCAACCGTGTGAAGGTACTTAAAGCCACCGAACTGGCTGCTTAGAATGGCTAAATTTATTTGTATTTTAACACCATTAAAAACTTATTTAAAAGGGTGGGGGGAAAGGGCAATCAGATCTGAGTCAGCAGCTAATGCGGGGTTCCCTCGGCTTGCAGACTCACCTGAACTGCCCCCCACCCAAGTCCCCAGAGTCCATCCTGGCCCACCTCACTGTCTCCAGTGTTAGATGGAGGTTGGAGCACCGGGTAGAGCCTCCTCGAGTCCTTCCAGTGTGACATCTCTCAGGGTCCCGTCTTCGTGGAGATTATGATTTCCTTCTGTTGTCCTCTGAAGGCAGGTGGGCTCCCACCACCATGCCTCCACCTCCCCTTACTCCCAGGCTGGGCCCCAGCCTGCGGGCAGGGACATGAACCCACTTCCGGCCGAGTGGAGGGTGCTCTGACCCTGTCCGGGTTTGAGGTCCAGCTCTCAACTCCAGATGGCCTGTACCTCCTCCCTGGGACCTCGGTCCAAGCTGCTGCACCGGGCCACGTGCGGGAGCTCGGGGACACTGGGCAGTGAGACAAGGCGCTGGAGACTCTCGGGCGAGCTGCCAGCGGTTCGACGGTTCAGGTCTCACTCCAAACCCAGGGCCCTTGGCCTCCTACTGAGAGGTCCTAGTCCCCCAGTCCCCACTCCACGCCCTTCTGCGACTGCCTTGAGGTCAACTGGCTGTTCAGAACAGGTGGCCTCCTTCCCAGCCAGAACGTCAAGGGTAAGGTGCGGTTATACTTTGCAAAAGGTGTAACAGGATAACAGAAGAGAGAAGTAATACAATAGTAACATAATAATAACGGAATGAATATGCACCAGGCCCCCCTGGAAGCCCCCACCCCCTCACCTCCCCAGGTACCACAGGCAGGCTGCCTCCACCACCCTGGGGAGGGGAGGGCCGCCTGCCTGGTCCTGTCGCTTGGCCCCTCCCCAGACTTGGAGGAGGGAGGAAGGGAGGTGCATGGCGGGGAGGAGGGAGGACTGCTGTGTTCATCAGGGCCGTTCTTCATTGTGTGGCGATCAACTGCAGCAGACGGTGGCTTGGCACTATAGGCCCTTAGGATCCGGGACCTCCGTGGTTAAGTCCAGGCCCAGCAGGCTGGTCCCCTGCTCAGCGCCTCGCCAGGCTGCAGGCCTGGTGTTCGCAGGGCCAGGTCATGCCCCCTTCCCAACAGGGCCAGCAGTGACCCTCCTTCCCATTTCTCATCACAGCCATAGGCCCCGCCCACTCTGCACACCGATGCCCTTCCCTTTCAGGAGGCTGCCTGGCCAGGGCCGGCACCCCAGGACACCCCTCTCAGTGCTTCCAAGCAGGCCAGTCCGTGAGGACACAGGGCCCTGGGACCCATTCTCGATGTGGGCTCGAGGCAAGGAGGAATCTGGGACAGTACTGAGCCTCATTCACCCAACTACCCCGGGGGCCCAGACTCTCTGGAGGGGGAAGTGTGCACAACCGGGGGGCATTGTGTGTGTGGGGGGGTGCCCATGGATGACAGGGTCCCTGGAAGGCAGCAGGGGCCATTTGGGGGAGATTGAGGACCACAGGCCCAGTGGGCAGAAAGGCCAGCCAGGAGCCTCAAGGAGTATCTGCTAAGGGGACCCTAAGAAGAGCTGTGGTCTCCTACTTCCCTGGAGGTGGGGCCCGAGTGAGTTCAGAGGGGTGATGACGAAGTCACAGGAGGTGTGTTGAGAAAAAGGGGCGCCCAGCTGGGAGCAGGGGTCAGGGAGCATGGAGGGAGGGTGGCTTTATGGGCTGCAGGAGGGAAAGACCCGTGTTGGGCAGGCGGAGAAAGCTCGGAGCCGACCCCCGTCTTTAAATTGGGTTTCCCACGGGCAACATCTCTCCTTCCTACTGAAAATAAAAGCTGAGTTGGGAATGAACATTCCAGAAAACTGTGGGTGGGGACAGGACCCTCCTGCAGAGGCGCGGGGTGGCCACAGGGGGGCGGCACTTGGGGTCTGGGAATCGCGGGGGCGCAGGTGCAAATGGGGATTCGGAGACAAGCAACGACCAAGAGACCTCACGGAGTTAGGTCAATATTTAATTTTTAACTTTAATGTGCAAATAAATAGAAAAGGAAAACTACATTCAAAACAGCTGCAAAGGAAGTACAAGCCCCAGAACAGAAATTCTTCAAAAACAGAAGAGAGGCTCCCTAGAAGCATGCAGGGTGGGGCTCGGCGGGGTGTGGCCCGCACCCCAGGCCCACACGGAGGCACGGCAGGGGCCACGGGCTCCCGAGGATGGCGCCGGGAGGGTCTGGTTCAGGAATTCCGGTAAGTTCCCTTCTTACAAAACAAGGATGTAGACAAAGTGCCTGGTAGACTTGAGCAAACACGGGCTAGGAGACCCTGGGCAGGGCACACTGGCCCTATAATCACCCAGACCCCAAGTCAAAGGCTTTGCAAATCTTGAGTTCCACAGGTAACTTCCAGAAACATGTCTCTACTTCCCAGAACCGCGGATTTGGCACAGCTCAGTTTTTGGGAGGGTGAGGGCTGTCACTGGGTGGGTGGGAGGAAGGCTGCACACGAGGATGGTTCTGGTCCACCCCGTTGGTCAATCCCCTTTTGAGGGTGCCAGGAGCCCAGCTAGGGCCTCTCAGGGTGCAAGAATTCTAAAGAGCTGGTCCCCGGCCTGAACCGCTTGGCATTCTTGGCATAGAAAGCCTTGCACACCTCTGTATGACAGTTGCCTCAGCCCCTCATGCCCATACCCTGTCCAGGCACTGGCTGTAGGAATGACAATGTCAAGGACAGATCTGCAGAGTCCCATGAAGGCTCTCACTGCCCAAGGAACCAAGGGACTTGGCTGTTACAGAAGTTACAACCACTAAGAGAGCTTATGAATAAATATGTGTGCATATATATATTTCTAGAATGTCCTTCTTAGGTACAGGGCACCCCTGGGCCCTCTCAGTGTGGGCCGTTTGAGCTCACTGGGAGTTTCAGGCTGAGCCCCCTCCCCTTGAGAGGCCAGGAAAATATAGGTTTGGAGTCTCATTTTTTCCAGAGTGGGGTCTTCTCGACAGTTCTGGTACTGCCTGCCCACTCCACATCTTGACAACAGAGCAGAATCTCAACAGTTTGGCTGAAAGGGCCCTTCCTGCTTTCAAAGTGACCAAGGACCCCGAGCATCAGCTGAACCTAGCCCATGCCCCAACGATCAGATGCAGGCAGGGCCCAGCTCGGGAAGTTTCCAGAAACTTTCAGAACCGTTCAGGAAGGATGTGCTTTTCAAGCAGATCCACCCCGGCCCAACTCCTTCAATGTTGGGGTCTCCTGAACGCCGACCCCCAACCAAGCACATGGTTCAGCACAGACTTTTCCAGACACTGTATGCACAAAGGGACCAATGGTGCCCCCGTCTTGGGATTTGGCACGTGTGACGAAAGCGGCCCAGCAGGTGCATAAAGGCGATTGCTTGCTCCTGGGCCAGTGTGTGGCTCCTCCTCCTTCCAGCAGGGAGTGAACCCCCAGAGGTCAAGGGCAGGAGGGGCTCAGGTTTGGCACAGGATAGGCCCAAAGGAAGCAGGGAAGCCGAAAGGGATGGCGGCACAGGGCCACAAGCCAACACGACCCCATCACGCTCCGGCGCTCGCAGCCTGTGGCAGCAAGGCTAGGGGACACACTGCTCCCCTCGGGTTGTTCGTGAAAAGGCCCCGGGGCTGCTCCGGGCCGAGGCGGCAGCCACGTGGGGGTTAGGGTGAGGCTGGGCGGCGGCCGTACTGCACACGGTAGCGGGTCACGGGCAGCCCGTGCACACGCGCTGTCTCGCAGAGCGTCTTGCAGGGTACCATGTCCTCGTCCTCCTCGCCCATCAGCCAGTCCTGCACCAGGCCAGCTGCCTCCACCGTCACGTTGTCCTCCAGCCAGCGGCCGTGCCACTCCTCGAAGTGCTGGTGGTGGCGCAGCAGGACCAGGGGCTGTACCTGAGGGGGGACAGGTGTGGAGTCAGGGTAGCCCCAGATGGCTGGGGGTGGGGGTCAGTGGGAACCCAGGAGCGCACCCCTCCTAGATGGCCGGGGGTGGGAACCCAGGGACACACTCCATCCCTGAGGCCCATGGCCAGACCCCAGGCTTCAGGGCCGCGGAGCCAGGCGGGCACCTGCTTGGCCCGGCAGAGGGTCCCGCGGCGGTACATGTAGTCCTCGGAGTTGACGATGAACAGCATCTTGTGGGTGCTGAGCTTGAAGCGGCAGTCCACGTTGCAGGCACTCTCCACCCCGACCAGCCGCTTCCAGGAGCTCTTGGCCTCGCCGCGCAGAGCGCGCACCTGCTCACACTGCCACCTGCGGAACTTCTTGAGGTTCCTGGGGGGAGAGGAGGAGCTGCAGACTGGGAAATCCTCATGGCCCGTAAGCATCGGGAAGGCGTCCCACTTCCCCGGGGTCGGAGAAAGGCAAGCAGAAGCAGTGGAAATCTCCACCCAAACCCCTCCACCGGCGCCACGGGAAACCCAGTCAGACCCTGCGCTGCCGGCGGCGGGAGGGGCCTCCCTGGGCCCGCGGGGAGGAACCGCGTCTGCGGGTCCTCTTACCTCTGCAGGAACACGGGCTTCAGGAGGAAGCCCTCGGTGGGCGAGCTGGACGCCCCCTCGGTCCCCACGTACTGCTCCACGTAGCGAGCCAGGTGCTGTGGGGCCGGAGGGAGACAGGCCTGTGTTTTCATCCCTGCTCCCCAAAGCTCTAGGAGGATGGCAGCCAGGGAGGAGTGGATGCGAAACCAAAACCACCAGATGGCAGCTCCGGACTGACCGCCGGTCCATAGCCCGGAGTTCGACAGCTGTGGCACTTGGCGCTCCCGTGGTAAATCCCTCCCTCGTACCACTCTCACGTGACAAGCGCCCATGGGGAACAGGGCCCCCGCATAGAGAGCCGGGTCAGAGAGCAGAACGACACCAGGGCCCATGCAGCAGGGCAAGGCCAGGGAGGGGATGGAGGTGAGCAGAAGGCGCGGCTGGCAGGGGCGGCCCAGGGCTGGGGTGGGTACGGCCTGCAGCGTCCGGGGGACGCTTCACCTGCTTGCCACCCTCCGAAAGCCAGAGGTTCCTCCAGACTCACGCCTAACCAAACCACATTTGCTGGAAACTTCTGGAAGGGACAGGATGTACAGACCCCCACCCACACTCGTCTTGGAAAGCACTTCATGTGTGGGGAGCCTTGAAGCACGCAGGGAAGGATGCGGTGGGGGGGCCCCCACTGGCTGGGGGCTGAAGCCCCAGGACCCCAGGTGGACTGTGTGTCTCGGAGTGCGGGCCGGGGGAGTTCTCCAACTCAAGAGAGTTAGAGAACTCTTCCAGGCCAACGTGACCGGAAGCCAGGGCTCTGAGCTTTGCGCCCGGGGAGTGCGGGGTCATGCACCCCAGGGGGACATCACAGTGTTGGCAGCAGGAACAGGGCTGCGGGGGGAGGGTGGCCTGGCTCTCACATGGCCTCCTGCCGCGGGACACCCCCAGTGGCTCCTGGGGGCGCACATGCAGCTGCCATCCCCCGTCAGGCTTCCACAGATAGCGCTGGGGCTGCCAAGTGAGGCTGCTCCGGGTGGGACATTCTGTAGCCTGTGCCGTGTGCCCAGGGCTTGTGGCGGGTGGGGAGCCCCCCAGGGCTGCCTGTGGCTGCCCCTGACCCCCACAGTGTGTTCAAGGTGCAGAATCCGGACGGGGGTTCTCACCTGGACCTCCACAGGGTCCTCAGTCTGGGCCTCCTCGGTGTCCAGAAGCTCGATGGTCATGATCACCTGCCCCTTGCGCTGGAGGAACATGACCTGGGGAAGGGAGGGATGAGCAGCTGAAGCCGCGGGGGAGCCGGGCGGAGGCTGACGGGTCATCTACGACAGCCTCCCCCAGCCTGCAGGGGCCCAGTAAGAGGAGTGGGGGGTACCACATCGAGTGAGGCTTCCTGGGCCCAAGCCAAGCCGCCGGTCCTCTCCTGTCGCGGGTGCCCTCCTCGCAGCCCCAGCCTCGTGGCGGCGCAGAGAGCAGCACCCCCTCACCTTGAAGCAGTTCTCGTCTGCCATGCAGCGCTCGGCCTTCCACTGGTAGCTGGTCTCCCTGGCGGCGCGGACGCAGCGGGAGGACAGGCTCCCCCCGGCGGCCCCCCGCTTCTTCTCGTTCAGGTAGAGCTCCACCACCTTCAGACAGACGTCGTCACTCACGAGGTGGTGCAGCTGTGGGGAGGGAGAGCCAGTGGGTGCCCCGCGTGTGCGCCCCCTGGGAGGGGTGAGGCGCAGCTGCTGTCCACCGCTCGCCGGAGGCCGCACCTCGCCCGGAGAGGAGGTCAGCCAAGGCCTCGAGGGGAGGTCGGTCCGCGGGGCTGTGCTGGGCAGCTGCCGCGCTGGGGGCTGAGGGCACCAGACCAGATCAGAAAGCAGCGCAGACCACAGCAGACCGGACTGGACCAGCAGGCCCTGCCTGGGCGTGAGGAAGGACAGAGAAAGTCCTAGAGCACAAGTGCCAGAACAGGGACAATTCTTGTAATCGCTACAAACGCAGGCGCAGGAAGACAGCAGCGAGGGAGCCGGGCAGCGGGGTCAGGCCGAGCAGACGGAAGTCGACACCCCTGGGCACCGGCCATGGCCCAGACCGGCTCCTGCAGACCCAGGGCCTTCCCTGCGGCTGCTCTGCTGAATAAACACAACATGTGGCCACTCGGCAAGATCCCAGTAAGCACTGGCTGCTGTCACCAAAAAGAAGTGCTCAACAAACAGGCTGAAAGAGGCAGAGTGCGACAGCTCGGCCCTGCAGGCTGCCGACGGCGCCACAGACGGGGCCCCGCCGGCATCCGGCCTGCTGGAAAGCGGGGAGCTAAGGGCAGGGCATCCTGGCCCAACCAGGGCTTCAGCTAAATATTTAGCTCCATTTTTCTTGCTCCCTTTTTCTTTAAAAAAAAAAAAAAAAAAAAAAAAAAAAAAAAAAAAAAAAAAAAAAAGACTTCTAGGGGCGTCTGGGTGGCCCAGTCAGTTGTGTCTGCCTTCGGCTCACGTCATGATCTCAGGGTCCTGGGATCGAGTCCCATATCAGGCTCTTTGCTCAGAAGGGAATTTTCTTCTCTCTCTGATCTCCCTCTGTCTCTTGCAAACAAATAAAAATCAAATCAAATATAAAAAAATGAGTTCTACAGGAGATATTTGTGGAAAAGGGAATTAAAAAGAAAAAACAACGTTTATTAGAGTGTCTGATCTGGTCCAGCTGTCTGGGTGCTACAGACGAAGCTGCCATCCCCAGAATGGGGGCCCCACTGGGGGCACACTGGACACCCAGCCCCATGACAGCCGGTGCACAGGGGAGTGTCCCCGTGCCAGAGACCAGGCTGCAGGTGCCTGCTGGTGGGGAGGGCTGGAAGGAGGCAGGGCTGGGGCTGTCTGGGAAGACCCACCGAGCTGTATGCTCCTGTGTGTTTCTGCCCTGATGAGAAGTCTGTAAACCTGAAAGGAAATGCCATTCCTAGCAACCGTGTCCGGGTGGGAGAGTCAGGACACTACTCTTTCCTCGGCTTTTTTGCTTTACGGTGAATAACCTTCCTGGGTAAACAGGAAACTGAGTCAGGCTAAACAGTAACAACTCTGGTGACCGAGCAGGACTCACATCCCCAGACCACGTCTGCCTAATCGGAGGCTTTGCTGTTTATAATAACGCAACTGAGTCACATGCCTGATTTCCTCCGGTGGACACTCAGCTGCGGTATCTTTGCTCAGCGATGCGGGCAACCGGCCAACAGTCTCCCTCCAGGAGGAGCGGGCTACGGTTCCTTACATGTTGCTACCCTCGAGAAAGGTGTGTCGACAAGGAGCCACATGAACCCTTGTATGGTCGCCAAAAGGTGGCAACAACCACGTGCCCATGCGCAGGTGAGTGGATGAGCCAATGGGGTCCATCCACGTGATGGCGTGGGAGTTGGCCACCGAAGACCATGAACTTCTGACAAGGCTAGATGTGGGTGGACCTTGGAAAGAGCATACTGAGCTGGAGAGGAGCCAAACTGGAAAGGTCACACGCTGCTGGGACTCCATTTATGTGAAATGTCCAGAACAGGCAAATCCGTAAGACAAAAGACAGACTGGTGGCTACCAGGGGCTGGGGGAGGAGAATGAGGGCCGGGTGACGGCGCATGGGGACAGGGTCTCCTCTGGGGCGACGGAAATGTTCTGGAACTAGATACAGGCATGACAATGTCACTGTACTGCTGTTCACTTGAAAACGGTGAATTCTGTGTTACATGAATTCTACTTCAATTAAAAGAACGAAAAAAACATGGGGGCCCCGGGGCCCTCCGCACAGCACGGGCAGCGGGCAGGACCGGAGCAGGCAGGGTCTCTCCCGGAGGGGCTCGAGGCCTCCCGCCGCCCCCAATCACCGCCTGGCCGGCGCGCTCACCTGCCTGGCGATGCTCTGCACCAGCTTGTCCATGGTGAAGCCCACGTACGCGTGGATGGTGAACATCTCGCGCAGCGTGTCTTCGTACTGCGTGGGGTCGATGCTGCCCTCCAGCAGGCTGCGCACCATGTCCAGGAAGGCCGGGTAGTACTCCTCCAGCTCCACCTCACCTGAGGGGCGGGTACAGCCGTCACCCAGGGCCAGAAACACGCGTGGCCCTCCCCGGGATGAATCCGAATCTCCGTGGCACACTGCCTCCCGCAACAGATGTCCTCGTTCTCGGCCCGAGGCTCAGGCACCCGCGTCCCGCCCGGCCGGTGGAGGGGAGCCCCGTGCGCCACCCGGGCCCGAGGCCTTACTTGGCTGCTTCAGCCGCAGCTCCATGGCGGGGTCGTTGCCCTTCTCCCGGCGGCCCTCGCAGAGCAGTTTCTCCCTCTCCTTCTCGGTCCGGTACTCGAGCAGCTGCTTCTGCGCCTGGCGGTAGATCTTCAGCAGCCTGGAGCACAGGGTCTGGTGGAGGCGCAGGAAGAAGTACCAGTTGTTGTTGGCGAAGAAGAGGCTGTACACATCGTCCAGGGGCTTGTGCGGCGGCGGTGGTGGCGGCTGCTCGGCGGCCAGTGTCTCGCCCACGGCCCCCTTCTCCTCCGGGGGGCTGCTCTGCGGCCCCGGTGCCGGCTTCTTTCGGTCGCTGGCGTCAGCGCCCTGCCCCTGGGGGCTCCCCCGGCCCTCGTCGGCAGAGTCCTCAGACGCCCCCAGGTCCAACTGCTGGGAGAAGAAGAGGCTGGGCACGAACTGGTGCACCAGCTGGTGGATGGTGCCCTGGTCCTCCTTCTGGATGGCTGGCTGCCGCTTCACGTAGTAGCTGATGAGGGCGGCCGCGTCCTCCAGGATCTGTCTGTCCTCGTACACGAAGATGAGGTGTGGCTCGCTGGAGGGGGCGCTCCGGCCCTCAGAGTGCTGCTCCTGGTGCTGGGGCGGGGGTGGGGGACAGGCAGCCATTAGGCACAAGTGACCAGCTGGGAGAAGTCCAAGAGATGGGGGCCCAAGGCCACAGGGCTCTAAAAGCATCACACTCTTGGTCCTGGGTGCAGCCCAGTGCCTCCCACCTGGTCCCATTCCCGGGCCCACTCCAACCACTATCCTCTCTGGGTCTAGAGTGATTTGACCTAAAGGAGCATGGTTACCCATACTGCAGCCGGCTAGACCTTCCTGCACTGCTCAAGATAGGACCCCAGTCCCTGGCATGTCATCCTACAGCCCCTACACCTGGCTTCTTTCAATGCTTTAGGGCTGCTGAGCTCCCTCCTGCTGCGTGCAGGACCTTTGCACGTGTCCCTCTGCTCTTTGGCCCTGGAAAACTCTGCTCAGAGACTCTGCTCAGTCTCTGTCCAGCTCATGACTTTGCTTCCTGCGAACCTGTAGATGATCATACTCCCTCCAGACTACCCTGAACTGCCTGCTGAGTCAGGCCGGATGACGCGCTCTCCTGGGTGGCACCGATCACCAGCACCAGGCACCAAGGCTACACACACCCACTTTGGAAAAAGTGAGCGTGGATGCCATCCCCGTGGGTGGGGAGCTCACAGGGGCAGGGCCAGGTCTCCATCACCCCTCAGTGACCAGCCCAGGGCACAGCACTGTGGGGACTCCTCCAATAGCCAAGAAAAGGAGTGACCAACAGAAAACAGGTGCAAGGCCAGGGCCTCAGCTTTCTGGGGTGGGCGACTCTCTTTCTACCAGAGATCGTGCTCCCTCAGCGACGCTGAATTCTGCTGCAGCCCGAGACCTCCTTCCCCTACAGGCGGGGAGTCCTGAGAGCTGGTATGTCCGGCTCCTGGCTCTGGTGTGACCTCCTCTTTCCTACTGCTTTCTGAGTTCCGATCTCATTTGTGCCACAAATGCCCTCAAAAACTTTTTTAAGTCCTTTCCTCAGAGCAAGTTCTGGTGCACGGAATCCAGAGCTGTGCACTGCTAACAGCCAACGGCGAGGGGCTGACTTCCCTATGCGCAAAGGACTTGCACGTGCAGGGCTCGCCAGGCTGATGGGCTAACCTCTGGCCCCAAACAGTGCTGTGCCCCTTTCCTCTTGGCTCCCACGGAAAAGGAACTCCGTGGTGACCGTGGAGGGTCTCATAGGTCACGTCACTGACTCGCATTCTGATCATATCCCACGGATCCTATCTGGGGGAGTGGCGGTGGCGCTCTCAGGGCTGGACCACCGACTCGAGGATTCAAGTGAAGAAACCAATTAGTGGCAGGTGGGCCCTGCAGGGCTGAGGGTGGCTGGCAGCAGGGAGGCAGGAGGGAAGGGGCTTCCTATCACAGGCTCTCGCAAGTAGCTCACTCCCTGCACACATTTTTCGAAGCCTAAATCCTCGCAGCCTGGCCCCAGCCCTGCCTCAGTTCTGTGGTTCAGGCCCCAAGAGCCTGACTGTGCCAAAGCTGACAAGAAGATGCAGGGCGCGGCTAGAGGCAGAGCCCTAGGGCCTGGAGCCCTGATCTCCTGTTACTGGCCTTGGCAAGTGGCCACCTCCTGGACCTGTTTCATCGCTGCTAAACCCAGGACGCTGGTACCGCATAACAAGGTCTTGTGAGTATGGGTCAGATGGAACGTTCCTTCTCAGGGTCTACCTGTGCCGGGCACACAGCTGGCAGCAAAGAAATGAAAGCTGAAGTCACTGGAAGGAAGGTCCCTCAAGACCCCGGGGGTAAACAGGGAGGGGAGAGCCCCCCACCAGCCACGGGGGGACCGCTACAATCCTCCCCCTGGACCCGCTCAAGGCTGAGTGCCACAGAAACATCCCCTCGACCCCTATGTATACCTGCAAGAGGGATGCTGGGGAAACAGAGGCACAGGCAGCCGGCAGCCTGCCTGACACTGGGAGAGCCAGAGGCGGAGCCAGGATCCTTGGTCCGCTCTGTCCTGGGTAGAGAGCCTCACCTCGTCATAGACGCTCTCGATCTCGTTGAGTAAGCTCTTGGAGCGAAGGGCCTTGGTGTCGTTCTGTTTGAAGTTTACGGCCTGATGGTCGAGGGACTTGAGATAGGCCTTCTCATACTGCTCCCGCCAAATCTTGTTGAAGCCCTGCTGGGCCTCCCGCCACTCCTCCTCCTTAGCCTTCAGCCTGCAGGGTCAGAGGGGCTCAGCATGGGAACAACCCCAGGCCCCCACCCGTCATCCCTGCACGGGTAGCCTGTCATCCACCCACAGGCCCTGCCAAGTGTGTTCCAAACTCGGGACAGCCAGTGCCCAGCCTGGCCCATGGGTTCCGTGCTGAAGAAAAAGAGGGAGGGAGGGAGCAATGGCTCTGTAGAACCAATGTGGCTGGTTTTAGTTTCTCAAATATCGCTGCCCTCCTCCCTGGCCTGGCCCACTCTGGGTAGGTGCTGGATCCAACACTAGGCTTAATCGCTTGACTGTAAGCCCCACAAAAAGGGACTATGTCAGCCTGATTCAGCTCGGCAACCCCAGGGCTGAAGACAGCGCATGGTCAAAGGCAGCCACTTAATTAATAATTAATACCTGCTCACTAGCACAAAAGGTTCCCACAATGTGTCACTAAGTAAAAGGCAAGCTAGGACAATCCTATTTGTGCTTTAAAATAGTTACTTTTCATGTTCAGATATGATTATGTGCATGGTGGAAAGTTCTAGAAGGACACAGACAGTTGCTCAGTTGTGCTTTTCTTTTGGGAGTAGAATGGGGCAATGACGAAAGACTGGAAACCACACTAAGCCAGCCTGAGGTCCTGGGGACCCCCTCCCAATCACACTGTGACAAAGAGCACTAATGAGCTCCACGGGGCTTGCCCATGGCAGGTGGAGTCTGGAGGACACCTTTTCAAGACGACAGGGACGGCAGTGACTGGGTTCTTCTTGAGGCTCTCGATAATCTCTGGTGCCTTGTCACCGTAAATGCGGTGGATGGCGCGGCGCTGGATCACCTCCGACGTGCCCCCCAAACAGTCGTCCAGCCGGAACTTCTCCTGGTCTTCAGGCGCCATCCGCGAGAGCTTCTTCTGCACACTTTCCAACACACGGATCGTGGCCAGGTTGGTCTCCAGGACGACATCTAACTATGGAAAGGAAGGCAGGGGCCAGCTGTCGGGGGGCAGTGGTGCCCTGGGGACCAGCCTGAGTTGGCAGAAGAGATGTGTGGACAGAACTGATTAACTTCTGTGTCCCTGAGGGGATGATGGTAGATGCCAGGCCGTGGCGGCCCTGATGCAGCGGCTCTGGGGGCCCCAAGCCGGGCTGATGGGGAGCTGGTCCCCAAAGGTAAACACACTGGAATTCCACTTATGACAAAGTGACAGAGATGGAGGACAGGTGGTTGCCAAGGGTCAGCAGGGAGGCAGGGAGGGCCATCAAGGGCAGCAGGAGGGATCCCAAGGGTCGGGGGAGCAGTGCGGTATCTTGGTGGTGGAGACCACCACACACACGCGGACACATGCGCACACACACAAATATAAGTTCAACTGTGAAGATGAGAATAAGATCTCAGGGTGTGTCACTGTGCCCATGATTTTACAAGCTGTGACCACTGGGAAGAAGGCTCCCCGGGATCACTTGCTGCGTGTAAATATACAAGGACCTCAATAAGCATTCCGATGGAAAAATAAATATGTCTATTTAAAACGGAAACAAATAGTACCACTGCCTAGCCAGCCTGAAGGCTGGCAAGTCAGAAAAGGGACACTTTTGGTCACTGAAAAAATATTAAATAAAAAAAAAAAATGTTTGGTAGAATTTGCCTACCCCCCAGAAAAAAAGAAAAAAAAAAGGGACACTTTTGGGTGCTGCCCCCTGCTGGAAAGTGCTGGAATCCCAGATACTCGAAAAGAGTCTGGGGAGGGCGGGTGGGTGGGTGGGGAGGAGGATGGGGGTACATCCAGGGGTGGAGAGAGAGAGAGAGTAAAGTGGAGAAGAGGGGACAGGTTCGGACCCCACGCCTCCCTCATCCCAGCAACTCCAGCACACACACCTCAAAACGCTCGTCCTCACAGCGGTGCAGCTGCTCTTCGTAGGGCGTCTTCTTGGAGCTGACGAAAGTGGAGTCCTCTGACCACGAGGGGAAGGAGACCCAGGTGTCATTCAGAACCTGCACCAAGAGGAAATACTATGACGAGAGCAGTAGGCTTCAGTGGCCAGAACCATTTACTATGCCGTCCAGCATAAGAGATATGGAGACAAGTCATATAATCCGGATTTTACAGGAAATTAGCTTCTCAAACCAAGAGCAACCTTAGTTTTAAAGTGGTTTAAGGAGAAAACAGGACTTTGGTCAAGTAAACAAACTGTACTATTTCCCGGGTTGGCCAACTTTCTCTGTAAAGGGCTAGATAATAAGTATTTTAGGTTTTGTGGGCCAACTCCCTGTTGACAGACTATTCAACTCTGTCTTTGTCCTGGCAAAGCAGCCACAGGCACTATGCAAATGAATGAGCATAGGTATGTGCCAATAAAACTTTATTTACAAACACAGGCATAGGGCTGGATTTTAGTTTGCTGACCCCTGGACTATGTATCCTGAAATCCAGCAAGAACTCTCAAATTCTGGAAACAGAGTAGCAGCCTATTAACCCTGAAAAGGTATTCAAATGGTCAAGCTAAACAGAGACATATCAAGGGCACCAAATCGGGGACAGAGCAGGCTCCTAGCAGAAGTACACGTACACCTAGAGGGAGAGTATGCCAAAGCCAAGGCCAAAGCCAAGGCTCTGTGGTTTGCCAAAGCTACCAGCAGGGTAAAAAACCATCGTCTCGGCTCAGGCATTTTGTCTGCTACCACATCCCAGCACCTACTACTCAGGATTTGGGGGGTGGGGTGGAGTCGAGGCTCAGTTCTTTCATGTAAAACGTGGGTGTGATGGGGTTTTTTGCGGCGTGGGGGGTGATGCACCACGTAAGCTGACAGGAGCCGCCGGGGAGCACTACCTCCTTGCAGATGGCCGTCCGCCCACTGCACTTGGGCTGCTGGTAGGTTTTGGGGAGCGCTCGGTAGCTGGATCCAATGCGCTTGCAAGACGCGTAGTCAATTTCCCGGCTTATTCCATCCCCGGATCTGTCGCTCATGGGCGGGGCGAATGACAGCTCTTTCACCCCCAGGAAGGACTTGAACTGTGCAAAGAGTTCTGGAAATTTCCTTCAGAAACAAAGACAAACAGTAAGTTGGCTTCCCTGGGGCTTTCCGGGAGGGACCTAGCGATCTGAGAACGGCTTCCTGCAGACGCCTGCCAACGGTGGTCAGAGAGGAGGGGCAAGGGGGAACCAAGCATCAGGTGTGTGTCATACACTCAAATGTGTAAATTTGCTTCCCACCCCTCTGTCACCTGCCAAGTGCCAACACTAACGGGCGAGCCTTGAAACGTGCTGGAATAGACAACTCAGACTGGCAGAAGCTGGGATTAGTGAGGTTTTTTCACTGAAAAAGGCCAGGCACCAGCCTGGGGGTCGGTAAGCTACTACCAAGCTGCCCATGCGTGTCCTTGCAAATAAAGTTTTATTGGTACACCACTGTGTCCATTTGCTTAGTATTGCCTGTGGCTGCTTTTGCACAACACAGCCAGGGTTCAGTAGTACTGCCCCTTGGCCCTTGACAGATAAAGTCCACCGACTCTTGCTCCAGAGTCTTCCTCCCTGAGGGAGATCCCTCCCAGGAAAACCCCCTGCAGACGCGATCTCACAAGCCACAATGTAATGGCCATGCAATGGGAAGGTCTTCATACAACTGTTCCCCAATGTCACCTGGATTTGTGATTAAAGGAGTATCAAATTCTACTGAGGGGTGCCTGGCTGGCTCCATCGGTGGAGCGTGTGGCTCTTGATTGGGGGTTGTGAGTTCGAGCCCCACATTGGGTATAGAGATTACTTAAAACAATTTCAAAAAAATTTAAAAATCCCACTGCAAGGATGCATTACTTTGACAGGGGGCACAGCGATCCTGCCACCCGCAGCTCCCTTCCTTCATGAACTATAAGGCCCCCTCCTGAGATGGCTGTCCACTGTGCCCTGGCTGTACGAACCCCATGCCAACTTCACTCATGAGGAAAACCCACGAGCAAACAGAAACGCAGGGTGGAAAGACATCAACAAACCCATGCAGACGACACCTGACATTGCAGCTGTGATAAATGCCAACCGTGAACGCTCCAAGGGGGAACGGTCCCTCCGACACAGCCCACTCCAGTCCTGACCCTGGCTGTGCCATCGGCAGGTGGCCGATCTCTAGACCCCCTTCCCTGGCTGCCCCTGGGCGTGCAGACCCAGATGGAGGCTCACACTGCGAGAACAGGCCTTGTCAGGGTGATTGCTAGCCCAGCCAGGTGTCACAGCTAGGCAGTGAGAAGAGGCCCGCAGTCGTTCTTCGCTGCACACCCCTAGGGCCCTCCCTCAACACTGCTTTCAGCATGTGGAAATGGCAATCGCGGACCCCAACCCAACACTGCCCCCCTGCTCAGCACCTGAAATTTCGAGCTCCTTCATTCTTCTCCCTTAATCATCACCCCTGCCCCCGCCAACTGCAGGAGATAGGTCTGGCCATTCTGCAAACAAAGAAACTCTGATGTGCTAGTAGGAAGCAGGGTCCCAATCCAGACTTGGGGCTGGAGATGCACCCAACTGGGCACGCCCGCCCCGCAAAGGCGTCCCCAGGCCCCTCGCCCGCCACAGCATGTCCTCTTTCCAGCAACAGCACCCACTCCTCGGCCAGGACCCATACCCAGGGTTCTGATTCTGAGCTCACACACACACTGCTGTGGGAACGAGCACATAATCCAAGTCCACACAAAAAGCCAGCCACAGTTCAGCCAAGGGTGAGTAACGCCGCTGTGCTGCTGGGGCTGTTTTTCAGAGTGTCAGGAGATCCTCACTAGCCTGGGAGAGTGAACCCAAGGGAAAGGGACACCCTGACGTGTGTACCCTCTCCGGATCTCAGGAAGCACGGCCTGACGACCCTAACTTGACCTCTTAGTATCCCAACCTATGGAGCATGACCGTAGCACTAACTGTAGAAACTGGGGACAAACGTCCTTCATTACAGACCCTGCTGAGAAAACCTCAATTCGTACAAGCAAGGGAATAGCACGCAGTCGCTACAAATCACATAGGCTCACGGCTGACACCAAAAGACATCCGAGAAAGACATCCAAGAAATACCGAATTAAAAAAGAAAAAAAAAAAAAAAAAAAAAGGCTGCTGCAGCCCAGCCTGACAGCATCTCGTCCTGAGCTCAGAGGATGGGCAGAGCGCCGGCTTCTGGGCTGGGCCACCCTAGATTCACCCATCACCATGGCAAAGCTCTTTCTGAAGAGCGGTCTCTCAGGAAAGTGGGAAGTATTCACTCTGGGCCTTAGCCTCCTCATCCTTAAAATATACTAAAAAACCGGGGCGCCTGGTGGTGCAGTTGGTCAGGCATTCAACTCGATTCTTGGTTTTGGCTCGGGTTGTCATCTCGGGGTCCTGGGATCAAGCCCCAAGTCGGGCTCTGCACTCAGCAGGGAGTCTGCTTGAGTCTCTCTCTCTGCCCCTCCCACTCGTGCTCTAATAAAAAAAAAAAATCTTAAAAAAAATTAAAAAATATATCAAAACACATCAAATGTGTCCATGAGCCCACATGATGCTTTAAGAAAAAAAGAATCGATCCTAATAGGACAGGAGTGTGACTCATCAGCCGGCCATTATAATAAATGGAGAAATCAAACATCTACTCTGGGCCTCCAGAAGGTGAAAAATGCTGTTGAGGTTCTCTCTTTTGCAACCCGCAGAGAACATATAAATACATGAACGAACCACAAAAAGAATGTGGACACCACCGCCCCCTGACAGACAGAGGGACATGGAGGACAGGACTGCAGGGGTGGGGAGTGCCAGCACAGAGACAGCAGGCAATAAAGTGGGAGGGAGAGACTCACAGACATGTTCTAAAACCAAACCAAACCCAGACAAGGCGGCCAGAGTGAGCACTGTGCTGGACAGCACCTGAGCCATCCTCAGTGGGGGGAGGTGCTCACTTCCAAGGGATCCTTTTGACGGGGGAGGGAGCGTGATGTGACGGCACAGGAAGGGGCTCCCGGGGGGTGGCGAAGGTCCGTGTGGGACTTGGGTGGTGGGCACAAGGGGCTCTGCCTAAAAATGATTGAAGTCATCCATCATTCGGATTCCTGGGCCTGTGCTTTATTTTATATTTAAAAAGAAAACTTAAAATACTTTTCTTAATTAACAGTAAAGGGCTCAGGAAGCACCCGTCCCGGGGATGACTTTAGGGCTGAATAAAGCTCCTACGCGGTCATTACATACCGTGCACGCACCACGTTCCAGATGCTGTTTTAAAGGTCTTACGTGCAGGGCCCACTTGCAGCACTTTGAAACTATGTGGTAGCTCTAGAAATCCCCATTTCATGACAGGAAAACTAAGACTGTCTAAGAAACTCGTCCAACATGTGAGAACTGAGGAGCTGGAGGCGGTGCTGGGGCCTCTCCGTTCTTAGAGCGCATGGTGCCCGTGCATCCGCCTCCCGGAAAACCTCTGCGCCCCCAGCAGCCGCCCCAGTCCCCGGGGTCTGTCCACCTGCTCACACCCCACGGCACAGGCTGCTGACTGGGTGACCACGGCTTCTCTCTGGCCCGCAGGGGTGCCGAGTGGCCGCTTCCTTCTTCCTGGCAGTTTCTGATTGGCAGAATTTTTAAAAGCACGTATCAAGGGGAATTTCTAGAGGATTATGCTGGGTGAAGAAAACCCAGTCTGCAACGGTTATGTACGGTGTAATTCCTCCCACGGAACACTTCCATTGTGTAAGTTTCAGAGCTGGAGCGCAGATCAGGGGTTTGCCAGGGGTGTGGGACCCAGATCCGGGTGGCGTGCAGGACGGACGTGGGTGTGGCTATTACCGGTCAACACAAGCATCCCTGTGCTGCTGAAGCCGTATCTTGACCACTGGGGTGGACATAGGAACTTTGCAGGGGATGGAGCTGCATGCAAGGGGAAAACCTGACAAGACGGACGGACTCTGCAAGCGTCAGCATCTGGGCCGCCACAGTGGGAGAACAGGGCCCAGGACCTGTGTTCTTTCTCTACTGCGGCTCAATCTAGAATGACCTCTACCACCACAGCAATTTACAAACAGAAATCAAAGAAAGCATTTACCATTTTCCACAAGCCACAAGCAACAGAAGGATAGACAGAGCTTACGGACACACACCTGCGTGGAAGCCCCGGGAAGGGTCACTCACCCCAGAAACGGGCTGACGAGCTGGAGGAGCTCGGAGCCAGACACGAGCTCCTGATTGAAGAGCGCGATGCAGCGCAGGAAGTTCTCGTAGACCTCCTGGCTCTTCAGCACCCTGCGAACCTGCGGGGAGAGCGGATGAGGGGGCCCTCGAGGGCCAGCCCCACCCACACTCCCCACCCCCTGCCCTCACTTGGCTCAGGCCCCATTAAGTGAACACGGAGTCACCGAAGCACGTGCTCTCAAGTGATGGGCTGCGGTCAGCAGGGCAATGGTCTCCAGACAACCAACTCACAGCCTGGAGGGAATGTGCGTGAGACCAGCTCGTGAGACCTGCCATTGACCCCGGGCGGGAGCCCCACAACCACCCGGCCTTTAGAAAAGCCGCACAGCTTCAGGGAGACCAATGTGTGCCTTCAGATCTGCGTGGGCCCCAAGCTCTGCTGCCTCCTGCCGGCACCGCCTCCCACCGTGCGAGCTGGTGCCAGCCCCTTGTCCCCAGCCTGCCCCAGCTGCTGCCCAGCCTACCAGGTCCCTCCCCAGGGGCTCCCGTCCTGCACACCCGAGCTGTTGAGGCCAGCCTCGACGGCTCACCTTGTCGAAGAAGGAGAACTCCTGCAAGGTGCCGTACTTCCCCACAGCAGCAATGGACAGGTCTTTGGTACCTCGGAGTTTCATTTTCTTCTGTGGAGAGAAACTTTGTGCCGTGAAGGCCCCGGGCATCTTTGTCAAGAGTTACAGCGTCACTGACACTAAGCTCTCCTGACAGCAACCATCATGAGGGACTGGCTGGGGTCTGCCCGGGACCCCTGTGGAGGAAATCTAGGGACCACCCCCTCAGGCTCCGTGCCACCCACTACCCGGGCTCTAAATTTCGGCAGTTTAGGGCTTTGGTATTAGGCAGGAGCCTCACAAAGTTGGGAGGGGAAGGCAGCAGTATCCCTTGAAGCAGGATCAGAAACCTCTCCCCCTGCCTGTTTTGTCCGGTGGGCTGTGACGGTGGTAGCAAGGGCAAGAACAGGACGAGAACAAGATGAGCCCAGAGAAACCTTGGTTTTAAATCTCTGTGAAGAGTTTTGTCTCTAAGTTGGACTCAGACCAGAACCTGGCTGCTTGCTTGAGGCACTGAAGACCCTACAAAACCATCTCCCAATGCAGGGCATATGTCTAGAGGACGCAGAAGCCAGCTCAAAGGGGTTCCACTGGCCAAATCTGAGCCAGTTTAGATGCCAATATGAACAACAAGTCATGGATTACAACCCAGAGTAGGTCACCCAATAAAAGGAGACGAAGAAAAAGCTCTTCCTCAGAGTAGAAAGCCAACTAGTAAATGCAAAAAAAAAAAAAAAAAAAAAAAAAAATGGAATTAGAAAAACCACCGTTGGGCGCCTGGGTGGCTCAGTGGGTCAAGGCCTCTGCCTTCGTCTCGGGTCATGATCCCAGGGTCCTGGGATCGAGCCCCACATCGCGCTCTCTGCTCAGCGGGGAGCCTGCTTCTCCCTCTCTCTCTCTGCCTGCCTCTCGCCCTACTTGTGATCTCCGTCTGTCAAATAAATAAAATCTTTATAAAAAAAAAAAAAAGAGAAAAGAAAAACCACCGTCATGGGTGATGCATGCAACAGGAGATGGACCTCAGCCCCTTTCACCCTTCAACAGGTCTCCTTGTGCAGTGACCAACCTACACAACTGCACATGGCCGCCTGCCCATGAAAGAATCACCATGGCGAAAAGAAACAGACTTAGCAGTACATCCTATTTCCACAGGAAAACATGTTGCTCCTCGTAACAATCCTGTGAGCCACGTGTAATGGGTTAACAGCCACCTTAGAGGTGAGCTGACCTCCTAAGGTCCCAGGGCCGGTACATTTCAATGAGACCAGGGTCCAGACTCAGCCCATGCCTTGGACCTGCTACTTAGAGCTCCTGCACACTGCTCCCTAGGTCATCTACAGAGAGGGGAGGCTGCTGGGGGTCCACAGAGGGGGACATCTATGCGCACAGCTGACAGTTACCTTGGCTGGTGCAGACACCGGACGGAGGAGTGAGGGCCGAGAGCGCTTTTTGCTGTGTTCCAGGTTCTTCTCATGCTCACTCTTATGGACGCTGTTCATTTCGCATGGCCCATTTCCTGTGAACTAAGAACACAAACACGGGAGGTGATTAGTGCTGGAGAGATACTGGGCCCCTCAGTACTGGCTCTTGGTGCGTATGGGTGTGTGAAACCACCTCGGGCTCAGCCCATGGCCCCAGTGAATGCTGCCTGCCACAGGCTGGGACCCTGTCTGCATGTGAGGCGACTCTGGCTCTTGAGATGTCCATGTTGATTAAGGGAGAGACCCGGATTCCCAGATTATCAGTTTCCCTGTCACTTCTGACAGTTCTTACTTTTTATGATTTCATGTCCCCATTTGTAAACGTGTGAGCTAGATGGACCCTTAAAGACCCTTTGGGCAGGGGCTGACATATTCACCATGCCAGGTGAATAAAGTTTTATCGTAAATAAAGTTTTATTGGCACACATCCATGCCCACAAGCCAAAGGGGCTTTCCCACCATAACCGTGCAGCCAGGTCTTTGTAACAGAGATCCAACGGCCTGCAAAGCCTAAGACACTTACCATCAGGCCCTCTACAAAACAAAAAAGTTTGTCAACTCCAACTTAGGCCAAGTGGTCATGTTTAATTAGGACAGTATCAAATTTCATCTTTGGTTTCTTTTTCCTACTTTTTTTTTTTTTTAAGATTTTACTTATTTGCCAGAGAGAGAAAAGGTGAGCACAAGAAAAGGGAGCTGCACACAGAGGAGAAGCAGGGTCTCTGCTGAGCAGGGAGCCCGACGCAGGGCTCCATCCCAGGACCCCAGGATCATGACCTGAGCCAAAGGCAGATGCTTAACCAACTGAGCCCCCTGACGTCCCTTTTTCCTGCTGTTTTAATAGAACTTCAAATTTTAATATATAGGTCAGTGAAGATAAAGCTCAAGTTATAAAAGATTCTATGTGGGTGATTTTAATAATTTTTAAAAAATTGATTCAATCGCTTAAAACGTCCAAGACGCTCCAGTCAATGCACCCTGCTGAACTGGTAACAGGCACTACTGTGAGAAACTGAGCGTTGGGAGCTTTTCGGAGGGAGACGCCTGTTCTTCCGGGGCGGGTTCTGTCGGGGTCCAGCCTCGCAAAGTGCTGGGTGTCCAGCAGGGGGCGCAGCCACCACAGAAATCAGAGGATAGGCAGCCCCAGCTGCCCCCCTGCGGCACCCTGGCCACCACCGATGGGAGTAACTCCAGAGGGAATTAAGTAAGGCTGCCCTTGCAGCAGGCCCCGCAGAGCTCCTCAGCCTGAGTGTCTGCTGTGCACGGCCCCCCACAGCTGTGGTGGAAGGTGCTCCGCTCTCCTCCCGCCTTACCCAGGCCAACCACTGCTGAGGAACCTTCCAGCAGGCTTAGGGGGAGACAGCGTCATGGCCGCTTCCAAGAGGAGGAACTGAGGCTCGGGGAGGTGACCTGCTAGGGCCCCTCAACCATGCACCCTTGCTCCAACGGCTGCCCACCCCACCTCCTGTCCAGGCAGGGCTGCGCTCTCCAGCCTCCTTGGGGTGTGGAGAAAGGACACGCTGCTGGCCCCCGATCTCTGCCAGAGAGGGGAAAGCTGGCCTGGAACTTGGCCGGGCTTTTCCTTCCCGGGGGGCTGCCCATCTCCCATGCTGCCCCCAGTGAGGGCTGGGCTCAGGAAAAGAGCCGCCACCAGAGGCTGCAGCTGGGTTGTAAGAGGTGGATCCAAGGGGACGACGGTCAGACAAGCCCCTAACACGCCATGTGATAGGGCAAGTTGGCCAGGCGGCATGTGGCGCTGTGCAGCTCCAGCTCCTGGGGAACGTGGAGGCCTGAGGGCCCGCAACCCACACAAGGGTGTATTGCAGGCAGGAGGCAGTGAGAGTCCTCCGCTCCTCGTCTTTGTGCCCCTGGAGCCTGCGAGGAGGCTCTCTGGCAAAGAGAAAAAGAAATCGGAGTGATGCCAGGACAGCACAGGACATTGTTTGGGAAAAGGGGGCCAAGCCCAAGGAGGGACACTGTGCTTCGGGGCTGGGTTGGGGCGGAGGGGGGCTGAGAGTGGAAGTGAGGGTGGGGACATGAGGAGTTAGGCTCAGCTGGAAGTGCAGCCACCTCTGGTGGAGGTGAGCTCCCTGCCCCCCTGGGGAGGGGGTCGGGAAATCCACACCAGGGCTTTGCTCAGCCCTCCCCATGTACTCCCCAGGGGCCTCCTGCAGGCTGGCTGGTCCTGGGGAAGCAGAGGGAGGCCCTGCCGCTTGGGTGGACACTCAGGGAGGGCGGGGGGGGGGGGCGGACAACACTGGCACTGGGAAGGGATGGGGACAATCCATCTGGATCCTCCGCCTGCTTTTCCTGAACATTCCCAGCTGTTCTTTCTGGAGCACTGCACACGTGCTGGGCTGCACACAAAAGCGCTTAGAGGATGATGGCTTGCCGAGTCAGAGCAGGAAGGTCTTCATCCCCATGTGAAAGAGAAGGAAACCAGGCCTGGGACGTGAGTGAGGGCGTTGGCTCAAGCCCTCCTGAGCGCCTGCGGACACGGAGTGAGTGTCTCAGCCTGGGCTGTGTGCTCCTGGGGGCCCTGCCTAGCCCTCCAGCCCCTGAAGACATACAAAACTCCAGGCAGGGTGAAGGGACAGGCGACAGCTCCAGGACGAGACGTCAACCCTATGGAGAGGCACAGAGCTTCTCTGACTTTGAGTCAGGAAGTATTTCCAGGTGGCATCCTGACTTTGAGGTGGCATTCATGGGCACTGGAAGGCCAAGTGATTCTTGATGATCCAAACCCAGACCCCTGTACGCACCCACCAAGCCTCTCCTGCTGCTCCCCAGCCCTGCCCCCCCACCGCATCTTCCTTTAGAAGCAGAACCAGGAGAGGTGGTAGTGATGCACTTGGGCCGGGGTTAGTGGGGGAGGACCGCTCGTGTGCACAGGACCCAAGCCACCATCCAAAGCAGAGAAGAACAAAAAGAGGAAAAGGAGTAGCCAATAAACTCGAATAGAAGCGTGTTTCTTCCATCTGACAAAGGGGTGTTTACGAAAAGCCCACAGCTCCCAGAACACTCAGGTGGAAGATGGAAAGCTTTTCCCTTAAGATCAGGAACAAGACAAGAATGCCTCCTCTCACCACTTCTATTCAGCTCAGTAATAAAGGCTCCACTGCAGCAATTAGGCCAAGACAAGGAACGAAAAGGCATTCATAATGGAAAAGAAAGAAAACCATCTCTATTAGCAGATGGCATGGTAACACACATATAAAAAAATCCTCGTGAATATACAAAGGCTATTAAAGCTGATAAACAGACTCAGCAAAGTCACAGGAAGCAAAACACACAAAAATCAGTGGTATTTGTATACACTCATGATGCACAATCCAAAAATGAAATTAAGGAAAAAAAAAGAGTAAGATATTTGGGATAAATTTAACCTAAGAGGTGCAAGACAAGTACATCAAAAACCACAAAATGTTGCTGAAAGAAATTGAAGATTTAAATAAATGCAAAGAAACCTCATGTTCATGGATCAGAAGACTTAACATTATCAAGATGGCAATATTCCCCAAAACAATCTAAAGATTCAAGGCAATCCCTATCAAAATCCCAATGGCTTTTTTCCCTTTTTTTTTGCAGAAATGGTAATGCTGACCTTCAAGTTTATATGGAATTCCGAGGGGCCCTGACTAGCTAACATCATCTTGAAAAAGAACACAACTCAAATCGCTTCTTCATTCTGAACTTAGGACAAAATTATAGTAATCCAGACAGTGTGGTGCTGCCCTCAGAAGAGACATGCGGGGGGTGGTCGATGGGTTGGAACTGAACAGTCCAGAAATAAATCCATACAATGGTGCTCAACTGGTTTTCAACAACGGTGCGAGGACCATTCAACGGGAACAGAAAAGTTGCTTCAATAAACCGTGCTGGGAAGACTGGCTCTCCCCTCAGGAAAGAATGGAGTTGGATCCCTACCTCACACCACACAAACACACAAAAATTAAATCAAAATGCACCAATGACCTAACTATGAAAGCTAAAATTATAGAAACTTTTAGAGAAAAATACAGGAGGAAACCTTCCTGTCTTCAGCTCTGGCAGAGATTGAGACACTAAAAGCATGAGCAACAAAAGAAAAAACAGGTAACTGGATTTGATCAGAACTAAAAGCCTGTGTACATTAAAGGACACTGGAAGTGAAAAGACAACCTACAAAAAGGAGAAAAATTTTTAATAAGAGCCTGGTCTCCAGAATATATATATATATAGAACCCTTACAGCTTAATAATAAAAAGATAAACTAAAAAACGGGCAAAGGACAGACATTTCTCCAAAGAAGATACACAAAAGGCCAAAAAGCCTACAAGATGCTCAGTACCCTTAGTCGTCAGGGAAACGGAAATCCAAACCACAATGAGATACAACTTCGCAACGACACAGCCATAACTGAAAAACAGACCCAAACACCCCGTGTCGGCGACACTGCGGAGCACCCTGCTGGTGAGAACAGAAGATGGCGTAGCTGCTGTGAAACAGTCCGGCACTTCCTCAACACGTGAAACACAGTCACCCGTTGACTCGGCAATTCCGCTCCTAGGTACAGACTCCAAAGACCTGAAAACGCGGACTCCAGCACACCCTCCCGCACGAACATTCACAGCAGCCTCACCCACAACCACCAAGAAGAAACCACCCAAATGTCCGGGAACTGATGGCGGGATATGCAAATTGTGGTCCATCTGCACAACGGAGGAGGACTCGGCAGTGAAAAGGAACGTGATACCGAAGAACGCCGCGCCGCGGGTGAACCCTCCAACAGCCCGCTGAGTGAAGGCCAGATGCTAAGGCCACATGGTGTAGGATCCCCCGTGTCTGACCTGTGCAGAACAGGTGCAGACTCGTGGCTGCCAGGGGCTAGGGGAGGAGGAATGGGGAGTGACTGCTCCCTGGGACAGGGTCTCCTTTGCGGTGATGAAAATGGTCTGGAACTAGACAGAAGTGCTGGCTGCACAACACTGTGAATGTACCAAATGCCGCTGAACTGTATCCTTTCGTGGCGTGTTTCATGTTATGTGAATTTTGCTTCAATTTCTAAGAAAGCCTTATGGAGAAAATACAATGGAAAGGATATGGAAAGCACAACCCAGCAGGCCTCAGGTCATGATGGTGGGGGGGCACGAGGCTGATGATGCAGCCTGCACCCTCGACCCCCTACCCCAGACCCCTCCTCACCCTCTCTGCCCTCCACCCCCAACCCTGCGGTCACTGGCAAGTCTCACACTGCCCGACAGGCACGTTCCCACAGGGCACTGGTTACAGACAGGTCTCCTCCCAGCTGGCCCTCACCCCCCCGGACACCACCTGAAAGAGGAGCCCCCCCTCAGGATCTGCTCCAACAGGATGTGGAGGTGAGCCTGCACGGGGGCCTAGGGGTGTCTGCATGCTGTGTGGCTTCTGGGGAAGCCAGCATGTCCCGGGCACAAATAAGCCCAGCCTGGTCTTCGGGGCCGCACTGAGAAACAGGGTCCCAGCTGAGAGGAAGGTGGCCCTCGGGCCAGGGTGGGCCCTCTGTACTTACCAGGGACCGCTTGGCTTCAGGCAGGAACTGTCCAAACTCGGACAGCAGGTCCTCCTGGCCCCGGAAGAGGTTGGCTACCTCGGTAAACACTTCCTCTTCGGACATGCCTCGGAAAGGCCGCCCCTTCGTGCTCAGCTGCTCCTTCTGCCAATTCAGGAAAGGGAAAATGAGTAGTTAGCCAAGGATGGAGGCACCCCAGGCTGTTGACATTCAGGCATCCCACTGTGGAGGAGACCGAGGGACGACTCACGAAACAAAGAACGGGCTGGCAGAGCCCATGCCTGCTATCACTAGGAGAAAGGAACCCAGTCCACCATCCTGCTAACAGCTTGGGGTGCCCTGCATGCTTCTGTCCTCGTCCCACCCCACAACACAGCCTGAGCCCTGGCCAGGGATGGGGCTTACAAGGGAGTACAGAAGGGATGATGGCAGGGGCATAGTCATGGAATGGTCCGGCCTCAGTCCTTGCATGTCCTCAAACAGAGGCTGGGGAAGTACAAGGTCAGCACAAGGGCAAAGAAGGCCCTTTTTTGCGGACAGGGCGCAGGGAGTGTGGAGCTGGTGGTGGGCCTTCAAAGAAACAGGGTGACGGGGGAAGGAAAGGGAGTACTGGGAAAAGGGACCTGTCCACCCAGAGTCAGAAAGACCTCTAAAGTTGAAGGAAGATGGCCTAATCCAGAGCTTAAAGCACCAAGATGAGGACCAAAGGGGACCCGGGTCAGGAGGGCAGGAAAACTCAGGATGGAAGTCCCTGTCAACTTTAGAAGTCCCTGTCAGCTTCACACCCAAGAATGTGACAGAACACGAGGCGGTGGAGCTGGGGATCGAGCACACAGCTCGGGCTTCCCACTCCATGGCTGTAAAGGGAATGAGACGACCCATCAAGGGCCCTTAATATTGCCCTCCCCTTCCTCAGGTCCCCTGAAGCTGGCTGTCTACTCTGACCCCTAGGACTTTGCACAGGATGTTCCCAGCACTGAGAAAGTCCACCCTTTGTCTATACTCATCTGCCTGATGGCTCTGCCTGATTTCTTGGGATTTAAGCCAAAGCTGCCCTTCCTGACACCCTGCAGTCCCTAGTCAGGGTTGGCAATCTGGACAGACTTCTACACGCTTCCCTTTTCTCCCACCCCAACCATCTCTAAGTCTCTTCCACCTCCAGACTGAACGAAGCAGCAACCATTCATCTTTGCTGCCCCACTGCCTGGCAAGGATCCCACTTGTAATCCACTTGTAATCAGCATCAACAGAGGGCTGCTGTGTTGTCAAAACACTGGCGAAGCCATCTTACAGAGAAGACCATCTTCTCAGGTTCTTTTTAAATCCCTGTACCCTGCGTTTCCTAGTACTTCCTGGGACGTAGGGGTGCCTCACGGAGCAAATTAAAATCCTGACAAAACCGAACTCCAACAGGTATCTGGATACCCGTGTTCACAGCAGCATTATTTCCAAGAGCCAAAATCACGGGAGCAACCCTGGTGCCCACCCGTGGAGGAACAGATAAACACACGTGGTATATCCATGCCACAGAATGTTCTCCAGCCTTAAAAAGGACGGACATTCTGGCCCAGGATACGGCATGGATGAACCCTGAGGACATCACAGTGAATGAAAGAATCCAGACACAAAGAGACAAGTACTGTATGATTCCACTTATAGGAGGTCCCTCGAGTTGTCAAATTCAGAGAGACGGGAAGTGGGATGGTGGGTGCCAGGGGCTGGGGGAGCTACTGTCTCATGGGGTGGAGTCTTGGTTTTGCACGATGAACAAGTTTTGGGGGTGGATGGTGGGGAAGGCTGCACAACGTGAAAGTACTTAATACCACGGAATGGGACACTTAAAAAGGGTTAAAATGTAAGTTTTAGGTCATGTACAATTTATCACAGTAAAGAAAAAACAAACAGACTAAATAAAAAATGCATCGGAATTATACAGGATTTCATGAATTCAGACCAGAAAATGTGAATGCCCCTGACGCACCCTGAAAGTGGGCTGGTGCCACTGGCACCCGGCCAGGGTCACATGGGCCTCTTACCTGGTAAGTGTGCAGTATCTCCAGGAATGACCTATAGATCTCTGGGTGGTCTAGAAAACGGGTCTTAATCTTGTTCACGTAGCTGATGGCGTTGTTGAACTCCACGGAATCCGACTCCAAGGGCACCTGGGGCTTGTCCTCCTTATACAGCATCTGCGGCTTGAAGTTCTCCGCACAGTCATTGTGGTTGTGCGAATTCTCCTGACAACAGCACGACAGCGAGTTACTGGCAGTTCTGACCCCGAGAACAGATGTGAGAAACGCTGGACAGAGCCTTGGTCCGTCTGGGAGCAAGCGGCACCCAGCAGAGAGCCAAGGTTTATAATGAGATGCAGGAGAACATTCCTTGTGGGGGCCTGGAGGGAGGGAAGTTGGGGGAGGTGGTCTCACACACACACGGGCAGATAACGCCCCCCTCACCACACTGTGCGTCTGCACTGTCCTGGGTGAGTCTCACCAGCCCACCGCCATCTGATCCAAGACCATTTAGTTCAAATGACACCCAACACCTTGAAAAATGAGCATGCGGTAGAAATACACGGCAAGTGGATTGTTTAATCCCCCTGGAGTGGAGTTTGGGGCTGCGGATAAAAGCAGCTTTCCACACCTCCTGCTGTCAGCTGTGCTGGGCAAGTGGGGACCCTGGAGGTGAGTAGGGCCACCACCGCCCAGGTTGTCTAGGACCATGGGACTCGCAGTGCTAAATCAGGGGTAGTCATCTGAGAGAAGAGACAGGCCCTGACTGGTCATCATGCTTGCCCTCCCTCGGCAGTCTTTTCTAGCCACACAAAGAGAAAACAGACACACACGTCTCTCTCCTAGACACCCCGAACTCTGATCTGGCGTGGGACAGACCCCACCCTCCCTGAAGGAGGGGGTGTTTCTAAACTACAACTTCATGTGTGGTTCTAATGACTCCCTGCAAACCACAACTAGGCTGTCATGGGTGCCCCCCCCCGCCCAGTATCCTGCGGGTCCCACGCACACAGGGGCTGGTTCTGGAGCAGGCCAGGGAACCTCCAGCACAGCTCCAGGGGTCTGTCAGAGGACACCTTCTCAGCAAGTCTTCCAGAATGATCTGTGCCAAACCAAAATGGCCTCCATCTCCCAGCACGCCGAGCCCCTTTCTTGCTCCATCTTCCTCTGTGGCACGTGTCACCTTCTCACACACATATTTTGTTTTCCTCTTGTCTACCCCTGACCAGATGGCAAATATCCACACTGTTCGCTGCCATAGCCCAGGTGCCCAGAACAGTGTTTGGAACAGAGTGGGCCCCAGCCACTGCTGGGAATCATCAGATGCACGGATGAAGGAACAAACAGCCTGGTGCTTCCATCCGTGCTCGGAAGGCACGGGGCACCAAGTTCGGACCCGAGGGCTCTAGCAGGATGGGGAAGGGCAGGCACAAAGCAGCAGGGCCGTCATGAGGACAGACGCACTCGCTGGGCACACTTGCTCTCGTCGGGGTGGGTGTGTACTACTGTGCTCAGGCTGCCGTAAGGAAACACCACGGACTGGGCAGCTTACACAACAGAAATGTATTTCCTCACAGTCCTGGAGGCTGAAGTCCAAGATCAAGGTTCAGCAGAGTGGCTTGTGCGCAGCCATCTTCTGTGTCCTCACACGGTTGTCCCTCTGTTGGAAGGTTGGGTCGGTCCATGTGTCCAAATGTCCTCTTCTTATAAGGACACCAGTCGGACTGGATCAGGGGACACCCTAAGGGGCTCTTTTTACCTTAACGACCGCTGTGAAGGTCTCCAAAAACAATCACATTCTGAGTACTGAAGGTTAGGACTTCAACATATGAATTGGGATTGGGGGTGGTGGCTGGTGAGAGGACACAATTCAGCCTGAACTGTGGGTACTGAGACGTTCTAGAAAAATCTGAGGCAAGACAAGCAGAAACACAAAAGACCCACACCAGCTACAACTCTAAACAGCACCTCTCCCTGGCAGTGGGATACATCCTAAGGCCCTCTGGGGACTATCTTGCTGATTACCACATTCCTTCCAGGTGTGCTGGCCTGGCAGCAGAAGGAGCTAGAAGGAGCCAGGGAGAGGTGCGAGAGGGAGCAGCCCTGGGGTGGAGATTTGCTTCAGAGGAGGCTGAGAGCTCGTTGGAGCTCCCCACCCCTCCTCGGGGAGCATTTTCAAGCTCCGCGTACCCCTTTCCCACACCCTGGACCAAGGCGCGGGGACAAGATGGAGAAGCCTCCGCACGGCCAGGGCTTGGCAACGAGGACCCAACGGTAATGGGGCAGCTGCTCTGGCCAGCAGCCTGGCGGTTCCTCCGTAAGTTAAACATAGTTACCACGTGACCCGGCAACTCCGCTTTCAGGTATGAACCCAAGAATCGCCAACAGCCGTGCAAACGACTCAAACGGCTACCGGGAACGGATAAACCCATGTGCAGCATCGCTACGATGGAAAATTCTTCAACTACAGAAAGGAACGTAGCTCGGACACAGGCTACAGTGAGGGTGAACCTTGACACCGCGATGCTGAGCGGAGGAACCCAGACACAAGAAGTTACATACAATTCCACTGAAACGAAATGTCCAGAACAGGCAAGTCTGCAGAGACAAAGTGGATTAGTGGTTGCCAGGGGCTGGTGGGAGAGGAGAACTGTGAGATACAGTTTCTTTCCGGGGTGATAAAAATGTTCGGGGATTGAGCGGGGGATGGTTTTAAGATAACGTAAGTATGCGCAAACCCGCCGAATTATATACTTCAGTTACAAAAAATGAATTTATGTTACCATGAATCTTATCACAATTTAAAAACATTTTTAATATAATCTCTGGAATATGTAAAAACCACTCTCCATACAAATATAAGCTGGCTTTGGCTCCTGGGCCAAACCCTGCTCTAAACCTTCCAGAATAATCCAGATTTTTCTCATCCGTGCCTGCCGGGAGTGGCTTCATTCAGGCATAGTCTGGTGTAGTCCTATTAGACACCAGGGAGCAACCCTGCACAGACCACCCTCTGAGTGGCTGCAGCCCCACCTGGATGCATGTGAGACCCCTCATCAGAGAGCACATTCCAAACGCAGAGCAGCTTCCCTGCCGCGCCCCCACTGCTCCCAGGCCTCCCTCACCCCAGCAGGTGCTGCCACTTTCACCCAGAGGCTGAGGCATCCTGGAATCTCCCTGCACTTCCCACCCTCACGGACTCCCCGTCCCCGGGGCCACATTGCTGCCCACTGCCTGGATCACCAGGGACACCTCCCTGGCCCCCAGATCCTCTCTTGCCCCCAGTCCACTTCTGGCACCCCAGCCAGAGTAGCCTTTCTGGAACTCTCCACGGGCTCCCCTTGCTCCTGACTCCCCCCCCTACACTCACCCCTGCACCACCCCCCCAACCTCACAGGCTCCCTGGCTGTTTCTCAAGCACTCACTCATCACCTCAGGCCTTCAGACCCGGCCTGGGAAAACCCTGCCCCAAGACACAGGCAGGGCCTCTGCCCTCAGCCCCTCAAGCCCTGCCCCCTTTCACTCACTAAAGTCCCTTATGTATCTCTCGTCTGTCTACCTGTATCTTTTTTTTTTTTTTTTTTGACAGACAGACATCACAAGTAGGCAGAGAGGCAGGCAGAGAGAGAGAGGAAGCAGGCTCCCTGCTGAGCAGAGAGCCTGATGTGGGGCTTGATCCCAGGACCCTGGGATCATGACCCGAGCCGAAGGCAGAGGCTTTAACCCACTGAGCCACCCAGGCGCCCCACGTCTACCTGTATCTTGAGGGTCCCTGCTTTGATGTGCGCATGCCCAAGAGCAGGGACTCTGGATAAACCCCGCCTGAAGCAGAAGAGGTGGTTGACACCTGCTCCGTGAGGGACTAAGACACAAATACAAGAGGCGACCCAACAGGGACTCACTGAACTTCCAGATGACCCTCCCCATGGCAGGCCAGCCTCTGAATGTAAAGGGGTCACTCATCAGATGAGCTAAGGGTTTAACCTTTACCTGTGTTCAAGCTGGCTGCTGCTGCAGCTGACCCTGAGGGGGCGGGCTCCCAGGAGGCAGGGTGGCTCTGAACGGAACCCCGGGGCTGAGAGTCGTCACCTTGCCACCGACATGCTGTGTCTTGCTCCTCCAACACTTGCCCCACACCGCCCGGAAGAGGGACACGGCTGTGAAGCAGCCAGACAAGGGTCCTGCCTGATCTGGACTCAGTCAGGCAAGCCAGATCAAGACACAGCAGGTTTTGAATTTCAAACCCTAGCTTTGCCATTTTACAATATACAAAACTGGGTGACATGGGAATGGCCGGGGGTGGGAGCAGAGGGGTCTCTGGGGAGTGACATTACAACTGAGGCCCGCTGACCAGCTCTGAGAAGATGCTGACTCAGCAGGCTGTAGCCCCAGCAAGGGGACATTCTTCCCACCATGCAGCCCTGGCCTTCCTGGGGGCACACGCCCCACATCATGGCACATGTCTGTCTGTCTTCCTCTTAGACTTGTGTTCTCAGTGAGGCTGATTCTGTCCCGCAGTGGGCACTTAGCGTTGTGTGGAGACACTTCTAGGTTGACACACGGTGGGGGGCAGAGGCCGGGGTTGCTGCTCAGCCCCATACAGGGCACAGGACAGCCTGCTCCAGGAAAGAACAATCTGGTCCCAAGGGCAACAGGGGCAACGCTGAGAAACCTGCACCAAGGGCTCCCCATAGCCGGGGACTCCCCTGACTTCTCTTCCTCTGCACCTCAGAGCTACTCCCTCCTTGCCTGGAGTTGATAGGACTCACGAGGACATGAGAAATGAAAAAAAAAAAAAACAAAAAACATCGAAGGTGTACATCGAAACACAGAAGCTAGAAAAACCAGTAAAACAAAACAAAACAAGTCACTGGGGCGTGGCACGTAGGGAGCCCTAAGAAGTTCTCGGGCTACTGTGGCCTCTCCAAGGACTCCAGGCCATCTCCTCTATGCCTGGCAGGAAGGAGGGCTGAAAACAGGGCAGGAAAACCAGCAGGTCAACTCATGTGGGCAGAAATGGAGTGGCAGCAGGAAACAGGGGCCCTAGACGTCGTGGCTTCGGGGCTTTGGCAAGACCACAGGGCTGGTCCCGTCTCACTGTGTCCGCAGCACGTCTCCACGGAGTGAGCACAACAGCAGGAGCCTTGTGGCTACTGACCGCAAAACGAGACCTCGGAGCAGTTTGCGTTGAGATCCAGCCCCGCAAGCTGAGTTACTCCAACAGCTGGGGACCGAGCAAGGCAATTTCCACAAGTGAGGTCTCCGACTTCAGCTCTTTCTTAGGGAGCGATGGTCATGACCCACCTGTGTACAGACTCGACTCGTCCAAGCGCAGCCCTGCGCACCGCTGCCAAAGAGCCTGCTCTTCTTCCCAGTCGCCCCGGTTCTGCCGGTGAACCCCGCTAAGGCTGCTGATCTTCTGGAGCAATGAGCCCTACATCTGGATCGTGGCACTCCACTTGTAAATGCGAAATGGAAGCAGCTCTTTGGAGGTCAGCAGCCACGAGCTTCCGATTTCCTTTTCAAAACCGTGATGCTCTCCTTGGCTTTAATGAGGCAACATGCTGGTGGCGGAGCTTGCCTTGCATAGAGAGAAGGCAGAATTTACATGCAGAGAGAGGGCGGTCACGGTCACACTGCCTCTGGCCATTCTCCTTCCAAGTCTGACTCCTGCATTGATAGGAAACTGCTATCTCCTTCATCAGAGGCCAAATGGACAGAACGCTTCCTGGGGTAGGCTTTTTTAACATTCCCCGCTAATACCCAAAGCCCTGGAGCAGAGACAGAAGAGGCTGGAAAAGCTGGTTCACGGAGACCAGGGGCTCTCGATGGGGGCGATGTGGTTCCCAGGAGTCATCTGGCAATGCCTGGGGATGCATCCCGCTGTCATCACAGGGCCAGGGCCTTGTGGGTGGAGTCAGGGATGCTGTACACATCTCCAGGCGCACTGGATAGCCGCCCCACCTCCAACAGCATTACGGCAACGGGGCCAAGGGAGAGGAAAGGCAGTGGCTACTTTGTAAGAGTAAAGCTCACACAGACTTCTGTGTTCTCAGGGGGTCTGGTGGGCTTGGGCAAGAAGGGACTGCAGGGACAGAGGAAGCAGCAAGCTGCCACCTGAGACAGAAGGAACCAAAGCCACAAGCCGAAGCTGAGCCAAAGACCCTGCTGGCAACGAAATGCGGCCCAGCAACGACAAAATGGCTATTCTCACATGCGTCTCAACTGCTTTATTGTGTGGCTGGTACCTGGGATGATCAGAGAGACCCCACGCCCGAGTCCAAGTGCGGCTTGCCTAGCGCGCTCACAGGGAGAGCATCTGGGTAAGAGCCTGGTGACGGTGGGTGGTTATTTTGACAGGACATAGAACTGTTAGGACAATGCCCCCCAGACACAAACAACCACATCCACTCTTGATCTGAATCCTCCAAAGGGACTGGTGTGGGGTAAACAGGTGGCTGGGTAGGGACTCTGATCTATTTTGATCTGCATTAGAAGCGAGCACTGTGTCTGGACAAAGATTGGATCTTTGCTGCCTTTCCGGCAGTAAGACACAAGACGGGCTGCCTGAGCTAGGTAACTGAGTACCAGGGCTGAAGTGTCAGGACCACATCCCTCAGACCACCACAGCGGCATACCTGGCTAGACAGAGGCGACTGTATGTTTAACTTGCCGTTCTTGGGAATGTCTATTCTGTACCCGAGGGGAAGGAAAGCGTTGAATCCAACAATGAGGTCAGGGTGTTCGTGGAAGAGCTGCGACACACGTCGGATGACTCCAGGTGTATCGATGCTGGAAGAAAAAAGAGGGAGAGTGGGCAGAAGTGTCCTGGGGAGCACATGGAAAGCCAAATCTACTCCCAACTCGCTTGACAGTGCCACCTAATGAGCTTCTTGAAGGACAACAAAGCACCCTGCAACGTGACCAGTGTGATTCAGCCAGTGTGTCATTTACTTCCACAGCTGCCAAGCTCGGGCTCCCTGTGCCTTCCTAGCGAGAACCACAGGACATTTGCATGACACATCTCCCCCAAACACTCCAAGCACACACACACTCAGTTCTGAAAATGCCAAGAGACCAAGGGAAAGTCCAGGACTCCAAGTAGTGGCAGGAGGGCCTCTAAGCAAGGTGATGAACTATGACACAGGCGTTAATCCCAGCAAGTGACAGCAAGGCATAAATACCAAAGGCCCTGCAAGCAGAGGTTGCACAACAATGCCAGTGGTCTCTCTTATGGCTGTAGGGGGGACACCTCTCAAGGCTTTAGCTTGTCTCTCCTGGAAGGAAAGCGGCCAGCCCTGCCATGTTTCCTCAGAGCGGGGGAAGCAGCCTGGTTGGGGATGTGACCACTGAGAATCTAAGAGTCAGAGTGCCCATGTTCTAGTCCTGACTGCCCCTAAGATTGGTCTGGGCAAGCAGCTGGCCCACTCTAAGCCTAAGTAAGCCTCCTGTCAGAGGATGGCATGATCTCCTGGTCCCCCACCTAGTTCTAACCCTCCTGTGTGCCTACAAAATCAGCCAATGTGTTTTAAACCCCTTCTATGTGCCAGGCCCCTTACAGAGCATTTTATGCGCATTACTGTCCAACAGGCCGGGCACTAGGGTGCCACTGGGTGAGGCACTCACCTTGCTGACAAGATTTAAGGGGGAGAGAGCGCCAAAACACTCAATACTCAAGACAAATAACATTGTGGTGTAGTGCTTAAAAAAATTAAAATTAATTTTAGAAGATCCTTGGTGAACAAAATTCCTTTAAAATCATTTTGAGTAAAGACAGAACCAGACTCTCTTGCTTGCAGACTTCTCTCTCTTGCTCTCTCCTCACCCCATCCCTGCTCTCCTTCCAGGAATCCCCACAACAGCTCCACAGGGGGCTACTCTCCACTCCCGTTTTTCAGAAAGAACTGAGGCTCTGAGAGGTTCCACGACCTGCGCAAGGTCACCCGACTGGGGCGGAGAAGCAGCCGGGATGGTGGGTTCCCACTCCGCTCTGCCGGATCGCGGCCCAGGGTGGCCCCCCCGGGGTGAGGAGGGGTCCCGCGGGTACCTCTGGCTTTTGAACTCCTTCATGATCTCCAGGAAGCCGTTGTAGGTGGCAGGGTCGCTGCCGAAGCGGATCTTCACCTGGTCCAGGTAGGTAAGGGCGTCCTCCACCTGCGGGGAGGGGGAGGGTCCTGATGGGCGGGGGTCGGCGGAGGAGGGGACGGAGGACAAGAGTCCCTGGCGGGGAGGGGAACGGGCCGAGCCTCCGAGGAGCTGAGGTAAGGGGTCAGGGGTCGGGGGTCCGGGGCGGTGCGGAGTGGAGGCCGAGGCGGGGCCGGGCGGGGCCCGGGCGAGGGGCATCGGCCCCGGGGCCAGACGACAGGGTTCCCGAGGGAGAGTGGGGGCAGCACTCACGTGCACCGGCAGTTTCTCGTGGCCCGCGGAGCCCGAGCGACCCCAGCGGGCGCCGCTCAACCCCCGGCCCGCGGGGCCACCGCCGCTGCCACCGCCGCCGCCACCGCCGCTGCCGCCGCCAGCGTGCGCCATGTTGGAAGTCGGAGCCGCGGCCCGCCCCGCCCCCGCTCCAGGGCCGGCGGCGCACGCGCAGGCTCCGCCCAGAGGGGGCGGGGCTTGATAATGCCGCGAGGGGCGTGGCTCCTTGAAGGACTTGCTCTGGGATCTTACTCCCAAAATTGAAATGCTAACCAATTCCTTATATAGTGCAACTGGGCAAACCGAGACCTGCCCTTTGCTGTTGCCCAGCTCCACTAGCGAACTCATAACAGTCTTCACATTTTTAAAAGATAGAAAAAGTTCAAAAGAGAAGACTATTTCGTGACACGTGAAATCTCTGAAATTCAAATTTCGGTGTCTGTAAAATAATACTGGAACACAGCCACATCCACTTGTGTACCTATCATCTGTGGCTACTTTTGCACTATGAGAGCAAGGTGAGTAGCTGTGACAGATCCTAAGATGTGCAGACCCTGATATATTTACTGAAAAATATTTGTGGATCCCTGGTTTATAGGGTTGATCTGACAACGGGCCAGGGGCACACAGCACTACAGAGGGCCTTGCCAAGTGCACTTTTTGCTAACTGGCTCTAGACTTAGTTCCCTTCTCCTATCTTCACCTCCTTAGCCCTGATCACATCATTTCCCCAGTGGACCAGTTCAGGAGCCTCTTAAGAAGAAAAATTACTAAATTTCTCAAATACTTAGAGCCCATTGACAAGTCCTTTAAACAGGCAGAGTGAACTTCCTCTAGGGACTCACCTGCCTCAATGTTACTACTTTGTTAAGGGCAAAAAGCAATCTTAGCCTGATCCCCAGGATCCTCTAAGTCTACTTTAACATATAAAAATTCCTTTGGAAACTTCCTTTATCTTTAACCCCCAAGATACATGTAGGCAATCATCCCAAGCATATGACCCACCAATATACATCTGAAGGGTCTCATGACTCAGATTCTATTAGATGTAATAAATGACTTTCCCAGTAATAGCCAGCCCCCTCAAGGTCCTGGAAAACTTGCTTCCAAAAATTCCTTAGAGACTTACGCTAGTCCTAACCCCCTCCCAACCTGGAAGTATGTAATCAGCCACTCCTCCTGGCCCGGAGGGCAGCTCTTTCTGCCCATGGGTCCCGCCCCATGCTTTAATAAACTCATCTGTTTTGCACCAAAGCTGTCTCAAGAATTATTTCTTGGGAGAGGGAGAAGCAGGCTCCCTTGTGTTCCCTCTCTCGCTATCTCTTTCTCTCTGTGTCAAATAAATAAATATATAAAATCTTAAAAAAAAAAAAGAATTCTTTCTTGAACCCTAACATCTTTCCCACATCAGCAAGAACCTGGCCCTTACAAACCTTTTCTTACGGAATTTTCCACCTACCCTCTCTGCCTGCCCAGCCTGACTGCTCCCTGGCCCCATGGGTCAGCACACACCATTTCCCTTGTCAGAAGCCCTGTCCTATGCACTCTTCAAAGCACAACTTAATTTACTTCCCCCACCCTTGCCACCATCCCCAGTACATCACTTTCTTCTTTTTTTTTTTAAGGTTTTATTTATTTATTTGACAGAGAGACACAGTGAGAGAGGGAACACAAGCAGGGGGAGTGTGAGAGGAAGAAGCAGGCCTCCCAGTGAGCAGGGGGCCCCGATGTGGGACTCGATCCCAGCACCCTGGTATCAGGACCAGAGCCAAAGGCAGATGCCCAACGACTGAGCCACCCAGGCATCCAACCCCCATCACCTCCTTTTTGTGCTTCAACTCTAACACAGATTCCTGATATAGAGCCACAACCGTGAACATTTACCAAATGAATGAACTTTCACACAATGACCAAATGGCATTTCTTTTTTATATGTGAGGAAGCGCGGGAAAGCTAAGAATACCTTGGCAGGGAGTACAACGCTTGCCAAGCTCTGTGTCAGGATTGGAATGGTGAACAAAACAGGCAAGACTTTTGCCCTCATAGAGGTCTCAGTGTTTTCAGAAAGATAGGGATCAAATAGTCACACACACAAAATGCAGTTTGAACTGTAATAGATCCTTCAAAGAAAAGATATAAGTATTAACACGTACTTTGTTCCAGTTACTGTGGCTGAGTACCAAACCACCCCAAGATTTAGAGGATTGAAATGACATTTGTTTGCCCTGCAATCTGCAATTTGAGCACTTGGGCAGGGAAAGCTCATGGCTCTGGTCGCTGGGTAGTTGGAAGGCTGGGGCTGGAATCTTCTGAGGGTTTGCTCCTTCACACATCTTGTCAGTTGCTGCTGGTTGTAGATTGAAACCCATACCACGGCTGTTCCCAGGAATACCTCCCTGCAGGCACCCCATGCAGCCTGGTAGCGGGAGAGTGAGGTTCTTGTCTCACGGAGTTGAAGAATGAGTCTCGCTGACAAAGGAGGGTGAGCAAAGCAATCGAGTTTTATGAAGCAAAGATACAGAAAAAGCTCTCAAGAGCGAGAGGGGTCCTGGTAGGGTTGCCAGTGAGGGCTTTTCATCTCTGGCCTTTTATTAGGACTCGACCAGGAAACTTGCCACTGGTTAGTTACGTCAGTGGGTCTGGAACCAGACATGACACTTATACATTGTATGAGAGTCTTTGTTTCTTATGACATCTGGGATCTATAGATCTATTTTGCTAGGTCTGGTTAATCTTCATTGTTAACGTCTCCTTTGAGGCCTGATCATTTTTCCTGGTTAATTTCTATTTTCTGTGGTTACAGTGTAATTACTAGAAAAACATGTTACCCCTAGCAGTTGGGATAAGGGTTCTGGTTTTTCTTCCTTATCTCTATTTTTGTTCTGTCCCAGTGTCTGGATACCTGAAACACCCTCAGAACCTAATTGGGACCCTTAGTCTTTCCCTACCTGAAGTCCCTTCCTTTCCCTTTTCAGCCTGAGCATCGTGGCAGCTGAGTTCTAAGAACGACTGTCCTGAGAGAACCTGGGTCATTGTCCTGATCCAGCCTTAGAAGTCGAATTTCCATGGTAGTCTTTCCATAGTGGCTGGTACAAAGTCCCTCCCAAATTCAGGGCATCTGGGTAGCTCGGTTGGTTAAGTCTATTCTTGGTTTTGGGGCACCTGGGTGGCTCAGTGGGTTAAGCCTCTACCTTTGACTCAGGTCATGATCTCAGGGTCCTGGGTTCGAGCCCTGCGTTGGGCTCTCTGCTCAGCGGGGAGCCTGCTTTCCTCTCTCTCTCTCTGCCTGCCTCTCTGCCTACTTGTGATTTCTCTCTCTGTCAAATAAATAAATAAAATCTTTTAAAAAAAAGTCTATTCTTGGTTTTTACTCAGGTCGTGAACTCAGGGTCGTGAGATCGCACCTCACATTGGGCTCCACACTCAGCTCGCAGTTTAAGTGAGATCCTCTCTCCCTCTCCTTGTACCTCCTGCTTGTGCTCTCTCTCTCTCTCAAATAAATAAATTAAAAAAAAAAAGATTTTGTTTATTTGACAGACAGAAATCACAAGTGGGCAGAGAGGCAGGCAGAGAGAGAGAGGGAAGCAGGTTCCCTGCTGAGCAGAGAGCTCCATGCAGGGCTCAATCCCAGGACCCTGGGATCATGACCTGAGCTGAAGGCAGAGGCTTAACCCACTGAGCCACCCAGGTGCCCCTCAAATAAATAAATCTTAAAAAAATAAAATGTCCCTCCCAAGTTCAAATGGAGGGCAAACAGACTCCAGAACCTGAGGAATGGCCAGGTTCTGGAATAGCATAGGGGACAGGAAATATTGCCATGACCATTTTTGGAAAATGCTACCTGCCACCTCCGGGGATTTAACCTGGTCTAGCAGGGGATGAGGAAGGCTTCCCAGAGGAGGTGGCATTCTAGGTGAGTTCTGAGGGTTGTGTAGGCATTCACCATGAAAGTCAGATGGAGCTTGGGTGCCTGGGTGGTTCAGTCAGTTAAGCGTCTGCCTTCAGCTCAGGTCATGATCCCGGATCCTGGGATCGAGTCCCACATTGGGCTCCTTGCTCAGCGGGGAGCCTGCTTCTCCCTCTGCCCCTCCCCCTCTCAAGCTCTCTCTATCTCTCTCTCTCTCTTTCTCTCAAATAAATAAATAAAATCTTAAAAAAGAAAGAAAGGAAGAAAGAAAGCCAGAAGGATCAGCTGTACGAGGGCCCTGCGAAGGGAAGCAAGGTGATGCACTTGAACTTAGAAAGAACAAGACAGAGACTACCAGAGTTGTGGGATGGCAGAAGAGTCCAGGGTTGGCAGTGGGGACAGGGAGGTGCAGGGTAAGGGTGCCAAGGCCAGAAGAGGCAGACCACTCATCCTTATGGGCTGAGTTAAAAATTTTGGTCTTGGCATTTAGCACCGGTAGAAACCGCGCGTGGGTTTTCTCCGAGTTGCTGTTTGAGCAGCTTTGAATTTGGAAGCAAATGCTCCGGCTACTCTGCCGGGAAGCGATTGGAGGGGGGCCAGGGAGGGTGCAGGGAGGCTGTTTCATCATTTAGAAGGACGATGATGGCTGAGACCAGGAGGGGGGCAGTGGAGGTGGCGAGAAGGGGGGAGGAAGGGAGCAATAATCAGAAGGTAAAGCAGAGAGAATGTGGTGCTGGGTAGATTGGGGGGGGGTGAGGAGGAAGAAAGCCTCCAGGATTCGTGGCTCCCAGCCCAGAAAGGGATTCAGCTCAGTTTCAGCGCATTCCTGTATGAACATCAGCTAGGGTGGCCTGAACCCCTTGAGGCCACCAGATGTCTGGACTGTCACTCTCACACCAGCGCCTCCAGGCAATCTGTTAGTCACTGTCCCGGAGAGCCAACTGCTCGTGTGGGCTTTTGACACACCGTGGGGTCCTCACTCTGTGCCTCCGCGCCTGCAAGGAGTATGGGTCTGTTTGCATTTCAAGGATCACTTGTAGGTTTCTATTCTTTTTACGGATCTCATGTGGTCTGAGGAAGCTCTCACTCATTTGGAGAACAGGAAACCACAAGGCTCTTCTATCTTGGGTGTGTGTGCACATGTGCGTGCCTGTGTGTGTGTGTGTGTGTGCGTGTGTGCACACGTGTGTGTGTGTGTGTGTGGGTG